TCAAGAATTTAGGACAGTGTGCATATGAAGCAAGTGCAAAAAAAGGAATATCTGAACTTTTTGAAAATAAGTGAAGTTTCTGCTTGGCTATGCCTTAATGAACGAGCTAAGTCATGTTGTTTTTACCTACACAACATGAATGGCCCTTCAATCAAAAAATCCAGTATTGAGGACTAAATGGCAGACAGTATACGGCTGCAGATGTCAAACCCAATATTTAGAAAAACATTGACAAAACAGATTTTTGTATTTGTTTATTTTTTAGAAAAAATATACTCGTGTAGTAATTGGTACTGACCATGGAAACAACATATAAAATTAATATGATTGATTTTTTTTCTTGAAGCGAGAATTGCTTTTATACCACAACTTCATTATCTAGAAATCAGCATGATGAAATCTTAGCACAGAGCACACAAATGGAGCAGCACAAGTTAAAAATGAATGCATTCACTCTTATTTCATTTGGAAAAGTTGCTATGTATAACAGGCAGAATGAAAGAAGAGGAACAAGCAGATCTGATCTGCTGTGACAGAACCTAACAGGCTTAGCTGCCTCCTGTACATTGCTGACCACACTGAATAAGCACCACCCAGACTGCTGTTTGAAAGCTTTTAAAAATCCTTTTAAATCTTACAACTTTAAGTACAAAGGGAGAAGGCTATGCAGCTTGTAGGAATTAACACTTAAAAATGTCTTTTACCCCTACATGGAACACTTGTCACCTTGTCTTCAGCAGCTAGTTTGTAGAATCTGTTGTTAGTGTGTTCCAGCAGATTGTCTGGCTTGAGACCTTATTTATAAATGCATTCATATGTACAATTCCCCAGCCTTTCATCTGGAGTTTCTGGAGATTGTCTCAGAAATTATTGCTTCAGACTTCTCCTCAGTGTCATGAAGATGTACCCAGCTGCTCCCTTCATGCTTTCCTCAACAGAAAACCTTGTGGAGCTTCTCTTATCCAGTGGCAACTCCAACCCAGGCTAGCAGCTTTTTGATTTCCTGTGAAACTGAGCCTGTGGTGTTGAGCCAAAGCAGCATGCTCTGGGACAGCCTGTGTGGCAGGTCAGCCTGTAGTCCTCATGTACCACAATGTTTTCTGGGTGGGTCTACGACCAGCTTGTTATCTTAGCCAAAAGAGAAGCCGAACAGCACTGGGGCAGAGCAAAACGATGTGTCAAGCAGTATTAAGTTCTCATTCTGGCATGTCTGCATTGCTGGAGCTGATTTGTGAAAAGCCAAAGAATTTGTCTGGTAAGTATGAATTATTGGAGTCAAGGAGTCAAGTTCTTCACTTTGATTTTCATCAGATCTACATGGCTCATCCACAGGGCTTAACTGTTAATGACTGTTCTCAGTAACTGATATATACTTCTCCAAATTATTCCTGCGGTTGTCTTTAAAGGGGCAGATTAAAGCGTGCTAAGCTAGATGGTCTGCACTAATACCTTTTGATGGCTGTGTGGACACCAACATGTAGGTAGGAATTAATTGCTGAGGGACTGCACCTGCACACAAGGATAGACCTGCACCTACAAATACATTCCTCAAGGCTTGCATAGCTCTGTGTGTTAAGAGACTTGGCAGATTCAACACCTTCACAAGGAAATTCTAAACAAAAATTATGCTCCAGTTACTTCTACTATGAGCATATTGCAAGTTACTTTTCCATTCTTTTTAAAGAACTGTGCTGAACTTGGAACTAAATAAATAACAAAAAAAAAAAAAAAGCCACCAGGTGGGTAAAGATCTGCTAGAATGAAGTTGCAATTACTGTAAACTACTGGCACACTTCAAATGTTTCTAGTTCCCGCCTTCTTATTTTATTTCTTTCAATACATAATGGACTTATTCAGTAAGTGAAACAGACTGTTTCAGCAACCCATTGTGTACTTTGTTTTTGCTAACTTTTTGTCTGCTTTTACATCTTGACACTTTACCAAGGAGAGGTATGGGGAAAACCTTCTTTCAGACTACTTTTCATTTCATTTGTTGCAAATTATTTGACAGGCTTTGTTTGTCTGAAGTGCATCTCCAAGTTCATTGTAATGGGTACCAGAGTCCTTGACAGCATTGGTAGGTAAAACATAGGGTGTCTATGGGATATTTAGATATTCAACAATAGTTTCTGAAATTCCAGATGTAACTTTGGCCACACAGCATTCCTCTTCTTCCTATAACATTTTACAGTTTTACATGCATTCTCCTTTTTTCCTCGCAAGGCAATATAAAACTACTTCCTCAATCTTTTAGATGTCAAAGATGCACACTGGGAATAACACAGGAAAAGGTTTTATTTAAAATAGACTCAGCAACACTGAGGTAACTAATGTTTTATTATGTTGCCTGGTTGAACTAAACCTAGAGCAAATCATGCAGGAAGATGAATATGTTTTAAAGGCCTTTGTGAACAATGATTATTCTTCAAATGTATCCTAACTTCAGAAACATGCCTAAAAAATATTTTTTTTATTTACACAGAAAATACATAAAGTGTTCATTATCTTTTAGAAAAGTTTCTTTGCTTGCTTTATATCTGAGCCAAAAAACTTATCTCTCTGTATTTGCACATGCCTAAATACTTCATAAACTCTCCTGCTATAATTTTGATGGTTTCCAAGCTCAGGTTGATGCTTATAGTCAGTTTCACTGATGTTCAAGAGCATGCATTTATATGTGGCTTATATGTCACAGTTGTCTCTATGTGTAGGAGATGAAGCAAGTCTCTATCCATACATTAGATATTGTGTCCATCACTTAAATTTCAGCATGCCATTGCGATGGATTATCTTAGCACAAAGATGCAAATAATATCCCTTCAAGATGTTTCATGGCTGAGCTCCAATCACACAAAGCAACATATCCTTTTTGTTACTGCTATCATATTTTCTTTTTCAGTATCCATTATGAACTTTTTCCACAAGTCAACATATTTCTTCTCTCCCTGAACAATATAAAATAGTAAGAGAACAATAGTTTCCGAGGATAAAAAGAATACTAGACGTGGCTACGTGTTCTAGAGCTTAGTTGGATATATGTAGAATGTGTGCTTTTTGTTTAAATGTTCTTAGTTTGAAAGAGTGAGATGGATTGCATTTTCTTCATTACTGTCTTTTTGGTGCATCTTCACATAGGAATGTGTTCGTCTCTTGGGAAGTTGGCAGTGTAAGTGACTGAAAAACTAGCTAATAAATCTGGGATTAATAGGGCTGTAGACAGCAAAGTACACAGGCGTAGGAAGGATCACCAGCCACTGAATGCTGCACATCTAGAAACTGTCAATAGAGAGTATGAAAAATGCAAAGGACAAAGCAAAACTAACAGAAGTTCCGGCTCGTTTTTTCTGCTTGCTGAAGCAATCTCTCACATCAGTGTATCCTGGTTCCCTAGGGAAGAGTTGTTCTTAGGGGCTTGATCTTGCTTCTATTCACAGCCGAAGAAAGTCTCCTTTTAACCTAAAGTGGGTAGGATCAAATCATTAATGATTGTCTCTCCAGAAGTAAAACCAGCAAAAGTAACAATGCATCGTGATACACCATACTCTGTATACAAAGTAGCTCTCTATTCTTGTGTAAAAATTTGTTCAGATTTAGAGGTATTTAAAGCTGATTTTTCCAGTTCTTTTAATTAGTGGACCAAATGACAAATACAGCTGGTGTGCACTTGTAGTATTGAGGACAAATCCTATCTGAGGGGGAAAAAATGTGAAGAAATTTTCTGTGCGCTGAATTAAATCCCCTGAACTCAATTGTGGCCTAGAATGTAAGTAAATTAGCATGGTGCTCTTGAATTCAGTGGAGCTACACTGGTGGCTGTGATTAATAATAATTGAATAACGCAGTAAAATTCCTTGTTTATTAACATGAGGATAAAACAAGAAAGGGAGAAAAGCTCTACATTTCTACCAAAACTAATCAAAGAAATGAGAACTGCTAAAGATTTACATCTTTGATGTACTCTTCTTTTACCTAAAACTGACATAAATAGCAACAAACAAACCTATGAACCTCAGAAGACCATGGGTACACAGAATTCTTTCTGGTTGGAAGGGCAATGTGAAGGGAGGTACTCATGATGTAAGGCAAGCATAGCACCTTGTTTACTATTGCATAAATAATCCTGGTGATTATAGACTGAATGAAGTGTGTGGTTAAGTGGCGATGCTAGGGTTGGACAGAAAATCTTGACCTGTAACATCGTCTGAAGTAATGCTGTTATGATTTGCTCTTAACCAGAGCTGAGGTTCACTGATGGACTTTGTATTGCCATCTAGAAGAAGGTTTCCACAGTAAACAATGTATGAGGCAGAGTCAGAGTGTTACTGTCTTACTCCAGCAATGGTGAAAAGAGATTATCATAACAGAGGTGGTTATGCTTCTTTGCACCCTAGGGATTCAAATTCTGTGACAGGATTAAGATTTGTTTACATCAGTCTAATTGGGTGCTTGAGTTTTGCTTTCTCACAGCCATACTCATCACTAAGACTTTGTATAACAAGCAGTAAATGTGCTGAAAAGTATGGCATACATCTCCACAAACACACTTGTACAAAAAGACCTACCTTTGATTTAGTGGGATCTGAAGCTTACTGCTCTGGCCTCATTGGTTTTCTGCAGTGGTTCTTTATTTAGTTTTTTCTTTACCTGAATGATAAGAGTTCTCACAACGTGGATGTTGGATATGCAAAAAGTGCAACTTCTAATATTTTCCAATGTTAGCATAAAAAGTTTAGACTCTATGGAGAAAGTGCCATTGCCAGACCTTGCTATAGTTTTCTTTTTAAACTTAAACTCTTTCAGTGAGCATCAAGTATGGACCCCTGTGTGAGGAGGGAGATGTATTACTAAGCCTTGGGTCTCAGGCTGCCTGCTCCTTAGCTTTCCAGAATAGGAAAGTTGCATTTACACTAAGTACTGAGTTTACAGAGGCTTTTTGTTTCCAATATTGCACTAATACTGAATTTATTTATTTATTTAGAATGCATGCTCCCTCATTTCACTTTCACCTTCTGCAGTGAAGTCATGCTTCTTGTGGCTGTGACCCCAGAATCAGTTGCTAGAGAAATAAATGTGGTGGCACAGATTAAATCACGGATTTCAGCACAGAATTGAGTGCATGGACAAAGGAGAAGATAAGTGCCTTTCTAAAATAGATACATTTATTAGAAAAATCCATTTGTTTTTGTCAGCTCTGTTTGAACAGATTGTTCCAGAATCAAAATCTCCACTTAATAGAAATATATATATATTTAAATTTTGCAGTGATCTTGTGCTCCTGGGTCTTGCCTAGTTTCCACTTAGATAAGCTGAGAGGTTTACGCTACTTTCAATGGACTTTGTTTAAAACCTCTGTTAGAAACTCCTCGTGTCTGGCAATGCTAAACTGAGAAGGCAGTATTGAAAATAGGAGTTTGTCATGTAACTCGCTTTCAGAGAACCCAGATCCAGAGTGTGCTGGACTCTGCTTTTCTATTCTCTCAGCCTCTCTTAAATGCAAAGGGAGATAATCTTTTCCTAGAAGCACTTAGAACAAGATTTTAAACCATGAGTGCTGAGGTATCAGAGTTCCTTTTTACCCAAATATCTGGAAATATGGCCTTCCTTGTGATGTTCCTACACAATTTTAGCATAAATGTAACAGTTATATCTGCAAATGAGAAAAATATATTCTGCAATAAGACTTGCCTGGACTGCAAATTAAAATGTTTAAAGAACATCATTCTTTAGTTTTAGGCTCACCCGTAGTGGAATGCGATATTGTAGATTCCTTGTCTACCTCTTGCTCAGCCTTTGCTGTCTAAACATAGGATGTGCTGCTCAGGTCAATGTGCTTGCTTTCACTGTTAGGGAGAAGCTCTGAAGGGAGCAGGATGAAGCCAAATACTGAACTGCGTGCTGGAGGCTGCTGTTGACTACAGATGGAGTTGAAGTGATCAGCTGAGATCCACTTCTAGATGGGTAAAGCCAGGTGAGATGCATACTACCTCTAGCAAACGAGGAATGTGTTTGGAAGCCTTTCTCTCTGATCTTCAGGAAAATACAGGCTAAGAAGCTGCAGTCCAGCTGTCAGACAGAAGGTTGTATTCTCACTGAAAGTGGGTTTGATACTTAAAGGGGAGATGGATAATTAAGACTTCATCTTCCAAAATATTAAATATTGATTTGTAGACATTTAGAAGCAGGCTTAATGCTCTCCTGAGAACTGGCAGCAACTGTAAAAGATTATAAAAGATTTTAGTTCTCCGTGTAGAATTTAGCATTTATTTTTTGTTTAAAATTTATGAAACGCGGGTAAAATAAATCAGGAGGTAATGTCTGGTCCTCTCTGTGCCTACAAGCCCTGCTGCATGTGACGTGGATGTATGGTGGTTTTTTTTTTTTTTTTTTTTCAGTTTTGTATTGGCTTTTGGTTTATTGAAGTGTCAGGGGGTTTATAAGCTCTTCAACTCCAATTTTTATTGTTTTATCCAACTACTGTCACTTCTTATCAGTATTAAAGGCAGAAATCAAAGCACAGGACCCATGGGAAGCGACGTTTCAAATGTACACCATTGCTTTTCTTTGTCATTGTTCTGAACTATGCACCCTCTGCTCCTGACAGCATACAAGATAAGGAGTTGAGTTCACACTTTGTTAATTCATTTGTGAATTAAACAAAGGTTGTTTTTTTTGTTTTTTTAAGCTAGAATGTTGTTTTTTTTTTCCCCCACCTCCCTACTTCTTTTTTTTTTATGATTAGGGGCAGTTGATGTAACACAAGAGGCCCTATACAGGACATCTTTGCCTTAGGCAACCACTTCATCTTCAGCCTTCCACTAATTTTCAGTTGGGAGCTTGCATCTGTCGAAGGAAGCAAAAATAAAGTATTCTAGATAGCTGTAGCTGTTTCTTGCAGGTGACTTTCCCTGAGAAAAAATGACCCAGCTTTATTAATTGGGTTAGAAAACCTGGCTTTAACCATGGGGGTGTGTTGCTCTGAGTCAAGGCAAGCAGGTACTGAGCTGCTGTGCATGGGACACAGCTGTGTGGAGAGTTTTATCTGCGAGGTTACTTGGATAGCTGTGCCTCTGCAGGAAGGAAGTAAGTTGAAGAGGAGTTGTTAAGAACTTTTTTTTTGCTTTTACCTTTTCTTTTCAGCTGTCTGTGTGATGGAAACCAAAATGAATTTTACCAGTTCATTGTATTTGGTTTAACAAGTATATTGAATTTAAGAGATGACGTTTTCTGTGTTTTCTTCACAGTAGTTTCAAGTTGATCAAATCCATTTCAGATTGTTCCCTAGCTTATGCAGACTCACTATAAATAAGTGTAAACAAAACCTGTGTTCATTTTACCACTGGCTCCATTTATTAGGTTTTAAAGGTGCGTTTCCACTATGCCATTAAGTGCGGTGAAGGGAGGAAAAAAAGGAGGAGCAGTGAGAGACAATCTATTTGAGAGTAAATAGTCTCTTTGCATATGTGTTTATATAGGTATATGGGTTTACGTGGGTAATGGCAATGGCACTGATAGAGCAGACCTGTTTTAGCATTGCAATGACAAATCAGATGACACACTTAAAAAAAAAAAAAAAAAAAAAAAAAAGTTTGTTGGAGGCATGATTATTTCCTATCTACAGCAAATGGAAAATTGACTGAGATGAGAGAAAAAAGCAAGTTAAGGTCCAAATTGAAACACTAAGTTATATACGTGTGGCAAGTAAGAAGTAATTAAAAAAAAGAAGACCTCACTAATTTTAAAGGGAAGAAAGGAGAGTTAATACAATTAAACTCAATGTTTAAATCTTACTTAAAACTCTGCAATTGTCAGAAGCAGATATTTCATTACAAAGATGCTGCAGTGGCACAATCGGGGAAAGGCATTAAGGCAAGGCAGGCAAATCTATACATTCACACATTTCATATTTATTTTTAAATAAGCATACAGGATGTTTTTAAATCCTTGGAATTAAATTAAATTCTTTACCTTCTTTGACTATTTCAGCTGGGGTATTGAGCCAAGAGGGAAATATACTTCATGTTATTTTCATTTTGACATTTTTATTGTCAAATGTTGTGCACTGAGTTGAATTTTGTTGTGCTCAAGTTTAGATATTTGAATCTTGAGGTCTTTTTATTCATCCTGTCATCTGTCATTGATGTAACTGACTTCTGTGACAGCACTGACAGAATTTATCCAAGAGTTTGCTTGATGATACTTTATAAAATCAAATATAAATAAAAGGGCCCATCATCTGGGGGATATGGAATTGGAATCCAGTGGGTGTTGATGGTTCACAGTTTTACAAAGAGCTATTCAGGAACTCGCCCAACCACTTCTTACAGATTTATCTCTTTTTGTGTATGACCATGTTCATATTCCCTTCAGGTCGAGGTGCAAAATGTCATGTTTTTTCTTTTACTTTTCTTGTTCTTTCTTTCCAAAGACCTGCCACATGATCAAATATGTACCTGCATTTTTTTCCATGACATTTCAGAAATACTAAATATTGTATTCTGGTGATAATGCTTTCCCAAGAAGGAAGGAGATGGCCCATTTAATAATGTATACTTCATTTACAGCATGGAGTGTTAGCCAACTACTCGTGATGATACCTCTTCCAGACATAATACTGTTATATGCAGTGTTCTGACTACATTTTTAAATAGAACAACAACTGAATGATACATTCAAAATAATTCATGGAGAAGAAATAGAAGTATTTCAGCATGGGAGAATATTTATGCATTATTTAACAGCAATAATGTTTGAATTCATACATTATGCAAATGCCGTTGTAATCAGGAAAATGAAAGAACTTGGACTGCTGCAACATCTTTAAATCTACCATTAGGTACTTATTTGTGCATATCATTTAATACTGCACAGCGTCACTTGAAGAGAGTTATCAGAGACCAACAGGTTGTAGAAAAGAAAGCTGATGAATTCCAGATTGCTACTTTGATGCTAACACCTATAAGTTTATCAGCAAACAAAAGTAAAGGTTTTAATGGTAACTTACATAAAACTCCTCTTGTGGAGACAAGTTACGGGGGTTTTGCTTGCAGTTCACATTTTGCATTGTGATCCTTGCCTGTGCTCACCCACACACAGCAGACCAGCAAACAGTGTGGGCTGACACAGAAAGAAAATTCTATTTATTTTCTTAATGTATCAGCAGCTCAGTCCCTAACTATCAAAACCAGCATGCCTGCTCATCTAATGCCAAATAGCTTTGGCTTAGTCTCCTATTGTCTTCAAGATAAAGTATAAAAATATCAAATAGCCTCTATTTGATGAAAGGCTTTTATAGACCTTCCTTCTTACTACTTAAATGAATTTTATCTTTGCTTAATTAAATATAGAAAACTCATGCATACATGTGCGTACTTGATTGCAGCATCCTTGAGTCACTTTTCTTGTATGTACCATTCTTTGTGATTTTGCAGTTTGAGTGTGCTTACGTGTCTTCTGTGGGAAGAGGAGCAATGGTTTGCCATGAGCACTGCCCACCAAATTGGAAGTAAGTGTTGCATTGAATCTTATTTATTTCTCCTACCAAATTTTATCCATCTTTAGTGTTTTGAGAGGGCAGATGAATGAAGAAGGAGCTTCATAACCAGCCATTGTCTCTGCCAGGTGCCTTCTTGCCTTTTAGATCAACATTTGGGAAAATGCTACTACAAGCGGTCCCAAAGATTCATAGTGATGGAAGGTTTTTCCCCTGTAGTCCATGAGTAAACAAAATTTCTTCCAAAACTGTGTTACAAAACACTTAATTCTTATTAGTATTTCTGTTAGTGATAACACTGAGAGCAAGTAGAATTGAAGAACATCTGTACAGAAGTGAACAAACCATTTTTAAATGAAAGTGGCCCATCGCTTGTCATGGAGTTATTTACAGAAATGGTTAGTGGAAATAAATTTATATTCTGATTTCTATGTTTTATGGCAAGCAAGAAAATTTGTATGCATATGCCATCAATCCAGCATGTCTCATAAACACTATATTCATGTAATACCTCAGAAAATACTGAACAGATCTTCTTGCAAGTGAATGGCATTTGGACTCAGTTTGGGTACTCACCAATTTGAATCCAGTCCACAGCATGGAATTTTTACTGTGCTAGAGTCTTCCAGAAATTACTACTTTTTATGGCAGGCTGGATGCAATACAGTTTGCTCCTCCATCACAAAGACTGTGCCAGGGCTTCTGCTGTAAAATCTCTTACTAACAAGAAAATACAATTCAACCAATATATTGTGCTCCTGGCTAAGAATTGGCATACAAAAATTCATCCTGGAAATTTTTACTAGTGGCAAACAATAGTAACTTCTCAGAGTGCAAAATAATGCATGAACTCCCTTTTGCTGAGCGTTAACTAATTTTTATGGCATTGTAGTAATCAGTTGTTGTAAAGCTGGCTTGGAAAAGAGAGGGACAGTAGGATACAGCGGGCACCAATGGTGCAGTAACAACATGTACTCACTCCAGTGCCAACTGGAGATCACCAGCTGATGATAAGGGCAGCCCCAAGAAATGGGAGTGTCCTCATTTCAGCCGGAAAAGAGCTGATTTTTCCTTTGGAGTATCTGGTATGATTTGCTTGAAGGGAAAAACAGTGTCAATAATACACTGATCTTTCAGTGTGCTGAGAAATGCTATGAAGGGCCAAGAATGTTGCAGTTACTGAGCTTCTATTGTCATGACAGTGAGGTGCTGAGAGGGGACAGAACCAGGGCAACTGACTTGAACAGGCCAAAAGGGTATTCCAGTAAGATATGGCATCATGGAAAGCAAAAAAAAAAAAAGTGAACACACACAAACATGCAAGTTCTAACCAGAGGAAGGGTGTGCTTTGCTAAGAGAACACACCCTCTTACTGCAAAGTTATGAGCTATTAAGCTGGGAATACTACATTTCTGTAAATTTAGAAGAGGGTCTACTAAATGATGACCACAAATTGTACAAAGCCAGAAAAGACTGTGTAATTTGTTTGAGATATTGTTTAGCAGTTGAATAGAATGCCTGCATGTGGAAAAGGATCTCCAATTGTCTGCTTTCCTTAGGTCACCTTTTTTTCTTTCTTTCTTTCTTTCTTTCTTTCTGATTGTAGAAAACTGATAGTTTCTGATTGTACTCAGGACATACTCCAAAATCCACTAAAGTCAACAGAAAAATTACCTGGTAGCCCCCAAACACAATTTCTGTGATTCCTCCTCAAAATCATCAGTATCCATCCCCAGTGTGCCAGAATAATTGTGTAAAATTAGCTCTGATATGAAAATTGGCACTGACTTCAAAAGATACCCCAGTGAAACATGGTAATTTTTGTTTAAAGCATGATCTTAATGCACGTTAAGTTTCAAGCTGATAGCTTACATATTCTTATAGTGAATAAATAAGTGTATTTATGTATTCCATAATGTAATGGTAATGTATCTCCCATATGACCATCTGACATTGTTTCTTCTAGGAAGATATAATGAATCTTCTCTGCATCACAAGAAAAAGGCTACTCAATCTTAAGACAACATTTTAATCTCAGTCAAAAAGGGGCATCTTCAACATAAGGCTGTCTGCAGTCATGGTATGGCTTTCCTAACTTTGCTATTTCCTTTGGGCTTTATTTAGAAACACTTTAGCAACACTTCCTAAAACATGCAGATGTTGAGGCTTCTACTAACAGCATTATTAAGATAGCATCTTAATTCTTTTTTCTTTGGGGGCAATATGTTTCTCTTCCAGTTTATTATGGCAAACGCTGTAATTTCCACTTCTTTCAGTGTCTGAAGCTTTCTGCTTTAATAAATGCACATATTAGATGCTATTCTTTCTCAGCTTGATAGGTGTATAGTGTCAGAAAAAAGAAGGTCACAGTGATGTTAAATTTGCTGCTGAGTAAAGGATCAGAGTGTAAATGAAATCTTGAAAGATGGGAAATGAGAATGTGCAAGTGTAAATAATGTATTAATTATTGACAGCTAAGGGACCAAAGACTCCTATTTAGTAATGACATCTTCATTGTCACGCTGCCTGACAATATCTCAGGTATTTTTGCTTTAATAAAAGGTTTTCCCCCCAAGACAGTAAGTATTTCAATTTTCCTGTGTAGCTTTATTGATATTTTTAATTTTCTTTGGCTTTTCTGTATCTTACTGTATTCTAAGTCCTTGATTCAAAAGGGAACTGGGGGGGTAGTGAATTCCCACCGGCAAGATATTTTAGTACAATACAAAATATTTTTTGTTATAATAGATTACAATATTGAGGTGCAAATGGAAATTCCTTGTTGGTTGTTTATGAAAGTTAAAATACAGTTTAGGCAGAGATGTGGGTTAGGTAAGGGCTTGGTTTTGTCAGCAGGACTTTATGGTAATTACTTGTGCTTAGTATGCTGGAAGCTGAATTGCTTTCATTGTGGCTTCCCACGGTGGTCTGCTTTGCTTCCCCAGCTCACTGGAGCCCACCTGCAGGCAGCCTGGGGCTGGGGAGCCCTCTGTGCAGTGCCCTGGAGGACAGAAGGTGCTGCTGAGGGTTGGGGTATAAAGCAAAAGGAGAGGTATCTACTGCAGGTGCTCTCCAGCCCACTGATTGCATTTTCTCTGTCCTTTTGGAATAGAGCTGAGTGACTGTCGAATCCTATTATCTGATTAAAAAAAAAAAAAAGGCAGGTTCTGGTCTGTGGAATTATTTAGCACGTTTCTATTTAATTAATTGTTAGAGATAAATTCTTGCATGTGGGAGGATGGGAAAAAAAACAACAACAATCAAAAGAATTCTAATTCATTGTTTTCAAAACATTGTTTGGATGGAATCAGAAAGACGGTTCATCTGAAGAAGTTCAGTTTTTTTGCTTAACAGATATTGAAGTTTTTACATGAGATACAACTTATGAAACATTTGCCTGAGATTTCCCATGTGTCAGTTGCACACAGCCCAGCTGTGTTTCCAGCCGACAATGCTGCTTACCTGTGGAGCAGTGCAAGTGTCTCCTGGCCCGTGGTTCTGCTGCTGAGCTGTGTGGGGAAATAGCCATCTTGTTACAGGGTGCTCCCACCTGCATAGCCTGCTTCCAAGGTGTTACCTGTAGGTGTTGACACCACTAGGAGAAAATATGCTTCCTATTTATGTAAGTCTGTTGTTTCTTACAGGGCATGTCTCAAACGTTAACAAACATCATATTTGATGCTTCTTCCTCTGCCCAAGAATATAACTTTATCAAAAGGAAATTTCCTACTCGTTTGAGCAGTCTCCATAGCAACAGCGCTGTACACCTGTGATGTATGGGCACAAGCTGTTACAACCTATGAACTAGCTGGAGTGAGCTGTGCCCCACCCCCTGCCAAAGCCAGAGTACGTCTCCCATGTATCCATGGCACCTGGTTCTCCGTGGTACGTATCTGCAGTCCGTGCGTAAGATTGTCGTGTTTGGAATCAGTGCACTTACATTTAGTAAATACAAACAAACACGCCGCTTACATGAAGTTATACACTTGCAAATATTCAGTATATTCCTGTCCTGAGGGAGGACTTTATAATGCAAAAATTATACAAAAATAAAAGCTCATGCTTACAGTTGCTTCTGTAAGAGTTTCCTAATTCAAAAAATTCATAAAGTGCCTCACTCTTGCAGATCTGTCAACCTGTTAATAGTATATCATTAAAAAGAGAATAAAGCAATGCATGCTGAATTATTTAAATATCGTTTTAATAGTAAACTGGAAGTAATTATGCACCTTTGGCTATCAATATTGCAAAGAGCCTGTTGCCGTTCACTCTGTAACTTTTAGTGAAATTGAGCTCACTAGTAAGAAACAAATGGTTGCATTTTAAAGAAACCCCAAATTATTTCCCCAGGTCATTCATAAGGTAGGTCATTACACAGAAACATTTTCTTATGCAAAGGAAGGAGAAAAAAAAAAAAAAAAGCAAGTAGCTTACTAATGCAATGGAAATGGTGTTTGGAGCTTCCTGAGTTTATTAGCTTATTTAAGAGGAGGCAAATGGCAAAGAAGATGCTTGTTTGAAATACATGCTGTATGAAACCCTACATAATCATGGGTATTACTCTTCAGCGTATATATATGGCTAAGCATAGTGCTTCCTGCCTGTTCCTGTGTTCTTGTGTGTGTCTGTGTGTTCTCATCTTCATCTTTGCTCTCAGATTTGCCTTTGTTTCGTTCTTGATTTGGTATTGCCCATTACTGAATGCAGGGCAAGCAAGAAGCAAAAGGAGTGAAATATGATGGAAGATGTGTGCGTATTTTCAAAACTGATAGCAGGCTGCCTGATTTTTTTTTTAGTGTCGCTCTGTGTTGCAGTGTGCTTTTTCCCCCCCCCCCCCCCCCCCTCCCAGTTTTATTACACTTCTCATTTTTATGCCAGTGATTGTAGGCTTTCTGCTCAAAGAGCAAAATCTCCTGTCCTTGTTCAGCAAACAGAATGGATAATATTGTCCTCCTCTTGTTGGGGAAGGAAGTCAGGGGCTGGTGGCTCACATCATGTAGGCTACAGCCATTGAGGCAGTTTGGTTATGGTTGGGGACTGGAAGGGAATGGAGTTTTTGCCAGCACTTTAAGGATAGGAGACAACTATCTTCCATTATTCTTGTTTTTTATAATAACTATTTTTTTCCTCAAGTGTAATTGTTTTCAGGTTTTCTACTAGGAAATATCTGTCTTTTATAAGTTGCTAATACTCTGCTTTAGGCAGAACACAGTGCTTGGAGCTTGCGGAGCCTGATTTCAGGGAAACTAGCAGCATTATTGATTTTCATTGGGCTTATTAGGATCAGCGTAACATGCACTTTTGCTATACTAGATTGTATTTGGCTTTCATCATGAAATCTCATTACACTAAAAAGAAATGGAAACAAGTTATGCAAGTAAAAGATTTTTCAGAATACTATAATGAAATTACTTTGCATCTGTGAAAACACGCTTCGGATGCAGGTCGTTCAAACGCTGAATGCTTCTGGTTAGATTCTGCTCTCTTTAACTTTTGAAAATTAAGAATAGAATCTCCAGCATTAGTGGAATTATTTCAGATTCATGCTAATGTAAATGAAGATCTAGCTCGGTCCTTGAGGTAGTCGTGTTGTCTGAATCCTGAGAGTGAATCAGTGGGTTCCCAGGAAAAAGAAGCCCCACTTGTTTGCTTGCAGCTAGGGTGGAATGTATTATAGCCTTATAGAGATGTGTGAATTGCCTGTACTGTCAAGTGCATGCTCCTTGTAAACCCAAGCCAGGATGAGCAATGGACAATAAGCTCGTTTTCACCCTTTTGTTACAGCAGGGCATTGGCTTGTTGCTATCTGTCTGATGATGGCAGAGGAGGCATGAGCTGGCAGCTCAACATTGGCAGCAAGTCACAGATTCTACTCCCAGCCAGGGCTGCACTGGGAGGTAGCAATGCCATCCTCCTGCATGGGGTGGCAGCAGGCTTGGGGACATCTCCATGGGCAGACCTTGTCTCATGGTATGCTGAGCCAGTTCACAGGACTGAGGAAGAGACTTTTCTTCATTGGCTTTGTTCTTTCTTTTTTAAGCACTTTAAATTGGTGAAATGGAAAACATTTTCCCCAAATCTATAGTTATTCTCTAAGAATGTCTTGAGATTCTTGGGCCGTCAGGAAAAAATATCCCCTGGCTTGTTTTGATGGTGTCTACTAGAATTTCATATGTTTCCTAGTGACTAGGATGATATTATTTTTGGAAATGTTCTAAATTTGATTAAAGGCATGTTCTTTTGAGAAGGTAGGGAAAATTAATTTTGAAGAAATATAAAAGGTTATATTCAAGCTTCCTTTTCAAATTCATTAGCACACTTCAGATCATTGAGAACAATCTACGTAAGGAACCAAAACCAGCAGGCAGCACTCAGTTATAAACAGTTATACAGATTGGATGTCAAGAAGCACAAATTCAAGATACAAAGCTGCAGCTTCAAAGTTACCTGGAGAATCACCTAAACTTAGCATCAGTCTTTGTATACCCAGTTTTTGGGTAGATTTGAGTCCTTCCCTTTTTTTTTCTTTTCTTTTTTCTTTTTTTTTTTTTTAAACAGAGAAACTTTTGTATCTTTAATATCCTGAGATGGATTGATCATGTCTTAAGCTGGAAAGCTCTTTTCATAGTTTTTCAAACATAAAAAATAGATTCCTATAGGGGAAGGTCTCCTAAATATACCCATGATTGTCTTATTTGTGAAAAGGATTTTCAACCTGCTGACCACACTGCTTTATGGAAAAGAGATCTCTTCCATTGTTGTAAATGGCACTTTCCTCTAATGCTACAGAATAGTAATAAAAAGTGCCTAATCCATCTGATTGTCCAGCAGTCCAACGGTTTCCTATTGGACTTGGCAGACTAAATGAAAACAATTAGTAAGACATTTCAAGTAGAGACTCTCCTGCAAATACTCACATTCATGGATTTTAATATTAAAATAAAAGAGAGAATTGCACATCAAAAGAGAAGTCATCTCATTTGCTGGTGCAGCTCAGGGAGACCTATTGCTGATGTGTAGCAGGTGAGATTTAGTTCTCTAAGTGCAGGTAAGGACTTCATTCAGATCTCAGCTTTAGAGTCAAATTAAATGAGTGAAGAAAACGTCATCTTTCTGACCTCTTTCCAAACAAACACCGCAAAAAGCTGCCTGAAATAAGGTAGCTTACTAAGGCGATGGTAACAGGTGCTATGGGTAGCTGCTGGGATTCTGTTTAATATTAATCTAAAATAATTTAAACACCATCTTAATAGCCTTATTTTATGTCTCTTATCTTGATTTTAAAAATTGGAGCATTCCCCTCAGTGCAGTTAATAGGGTCAGTCTGTGAGCCTGTGCTGGTTACCATGCCTTCAGTCATGTGGAATCCAAACAGCCATTATAATTTGTTTCTAAACAGATCAAGAGCTATTTACCATCTCAATGTTTTGTGCACAGCTGGGTGTCTGGCAAACATCCAATATCCATTAACATTTAAAAATTAGTCCCATAATGCATCTTTTCTGTGGCTTGAGGAGTATACACACTGACACATGTTGGGAACCAATTATATTTGCACCACCATTAGTCTGGCTGCATTCAACTTCCCAGTAAATGAGGGCTAATTTAGTTTCCAGAATGGTGTATCTTAAATTCATGCAATGACCTTAGAGAAAGCAGAGTATCTGAAGATATAAAGAGGAAGGAAATGTTCAGAAAGAATAATGCTTCCTTTTTTCTACCAAAAACATAAGAGTGTGTTATTATATATTCCCAGCATCCATGCCTGTCCCTGAAAACCAGATTTCTCTAATCCAATACTTCTAAAATTTGTAAGCAGGATTTATGTAGGAAGGAATCAGACCGATACAGTAAACTCCAAGACCTCCTTGCCCAGATCAAACCTGCTAATGGATCTTTTTACAAAAGCAATTGAAGGCCTGCCTGTAGCAGGTCTGACTCTTTGTGTTGCCAACTGGTTTTAAGTGTTCTATTTCCCACCAGCAAGAGAAAATAAGTAATACAGGCTTCACAGTAAGTGCTACCTACGCTGCTTGTAAATTATATTATAACAATGCCATAAAAATGAAGTGACCTCCACAAGTAGCAGTTTGGCAGAGAGATTTAATGAAAACAGAGGAATTCAAAAATATTTCCTGAGACTTATAGTTTGCCAAACCTCCACTGCCATGATAAATTCCTTCAATAATATCAGGGGTGAAATGGGGTGTCTAGTTTGGCTGGTGTGTAAGTGAGAAGAGGGATTTTCAACACCTTTCCTTGCAGTGTGTCTCTGGGCAATCAGGTTCTAGACTGATGGGCTGCTGCTGACTGCTGCAAAGTGCTGCACCAAGCTGAGCTCAGCTCGCTTCATCTGTGTCACGCTGCTTAATAAAACTAAATTGCTCCTGCAAACAGAACACTGCTCTGCAGCCTTTTGTAGTTCAGACATGGATCAAAAATGTAATTGTTCCTCAGAATTCCTCAGAAGTTTAAAACTCAGGAAAACAGGACTTAACTAACTGGGCATAAAGCGATCCAGCGAAGCAGGGTCTGAGTGATGAGTGTGTGCTTCCTGCTGCAGCGGTGAGCACTGAGGTACCTGTCCTCCTGGTACCACTGTCTAAGCAGAGCAGCTGAAGGAGCCTGGCTAGTGTCAGGCTGCAGGCTGATAAGTGAGTTTATGATGGCTTAATGTGTAAAAATATTTACATACCTTTACCATGCAGTATTTATATGTGTAAACAACTTCTCACATTAAGTCGGTATAGTTCAGAGCCTGGCCTTTGTGAGGTACTGCATCAGCACTCTTTTTCGTGTTTTTGGTTTGTGCAAGAAGTAGCTTTTTGATCAAATGTCTCCTTGCAGATGCTCTGTTGAAACCATTCATTGTGCAGTTAGTATTTACAGATGCTATTCATACTGCATTTGTCTCTAAATACATAGCTTTGTGCTTTATTGGTTTCAGCAGAACCCATGCTTGTAGTCCACAACAATAATATATTTTCATGCATCATTGGCAATACAAGGCTTCATTTAGACTATTGATTAACATTCCGATTGCATTAGGACTTGTTAGCTGTTCATACCTTTTTATTGTTTGGTGATTTCAAGAATTGACCTTTGCAGATTTACAGTATCTAAGCAATTAGCCAGTAATAGATTAAATTAATAAAGAAGATTCTATCAAATCTAAGGGCTTCACAGATCTATCGTTGAATATCCCTGTCCATTTCTTTGCATCATGTGCAGCCCCTGTTGCTAGCAGAAGCCCAGGTTCGACAAACCCTCCAGGAGGCTCTTGAGGTGCACTCAGGAGATGTTGCTGAGAGGCACGAGCGGCTAGCTGTGCAAAAGGTAGGCATGAGGGGTGGCAGGAAGGCTGCCATGTTTTCTTTTTCTGTCTTGACAGTCTCTTTTGTTTTTCGTCTATGGATTTAACAAAACAAAACTCAAGCTAATTTTAATTTTTAATTAAAGTCAATAGCTTATGTTTATACTGATGTGTTTGGTGCAAAGAAGAATAAAAGAAAATACAGAGAGAATCTTGAAAGAGAAATGCATTTCTCCAGCTTAATTATTTAGTTTCCAACTAAGAAACAGCTCTGCAGAGGTTGATTATCCTTCAGGGATATGTTAGAATAAGTGAACAATTAGCTTGATTTTCTGTTGAATATGTAACTTGTGACTCAGTATGTGATCTATTAAAAAGATGATAATTCCTCTTAAACTATGTGCTAATATACTTGGAGTCTGTTACTGATGGTAAGAACTAGTGAAATAATCTTGTCCCTCATCATAAGAGACAGATTGCTGTCTTGTTGCACAATCAACGGGAATTTTAGGTCTTCTAAAGGTTCTAAAGGGTGTATTGCTTATGCACCAAGGAAGAGAAAGGTAAAGCTTTCCTGTTAAAATGTAAACTGGCACACTGCACAACGCTTCAGTGGCTTGAGAGGTGACTTGGAGAGCTGGATGTGTTTAAAGGCTGTGGAGGGAGGCAGGAAAGGACATGGCTTGCTGTTAGCATTGAGCCACCAGAGGTAGACCTGGCCAAGACAGAGCTGTTGCTGGGGCCACCAGGCAGAGGTGCAGTGCCAGAGACTTGGCATGGCCTTCACTGGACTGCAGTTAGCAAGAAAAGCATGACTGCAAGGGAGATTTAAGAGTTGTATAGTAAGCACATTTCCGAAATACCACTATTAGTGCAAACTTGGTCTGTAGCATACTGCTCCTGCTTCCATCTTGTGGATGGGTTGTAAATATCCAGACCACTGAGCCATTTTTTTAATGTCTGCTTCTGTCTTGTGGCTGGATTGAACACAGAAATTAACAAAATATCCAAATTTCACACGAGAAAAGCAGAACCCGATTTTGTGGTTTGTTTGTTTGCTTCTTTCTTTCTTTCTTTTTTTTTTTTTTTTTTTTTTTTTTTTTTTTTTTGTTGTTGTGGTACTGTGAGATGAACTTTACCACAGGGAGAAACCAAGATGTTTGAGCTTAAAAATGAGCTTTATGTAGGTGACTTGCAGGAAGACAGAGTTTGCAAAAGTACTGCTAAAATTCCTGCATACATCAGTGCCACTTTGCACACCTCAGTCTGTCAGACTACATTCCTTCAAAAAGCCATGGAACTGCGCTTGCCTGACATGGGCCTAAATTAGAGGGCAACCAAATTTTGACATTGAAGCTGCCGTGGTATCTGAAATCTTGCTCCTGGTCATACGTAGAATCATCTCAATTCTCTCAGGACTGAGCAGTGTGGTATTGAAAGTGCGTGCCTTCATCTGCAGCATGAGCCCCGTGTTTGAATATACCACGACAGCAAAATCTGGGACTCGTCACTTCAAGGCCAGACTACTCTAAATGCTTTCTAAATCTTCCCAGCACACTAATGTAAGGGAGGAAAAAACCCAACCTTTGTTTTCTTTCCTGGAATGGTAGCAGAATGTTAAATAATCCCTCCCACACTTAACTTTTCAATATCGGATTCAAGGTCCTACATTAAAAAGAAGCAGTCACTGCTGCTGGTGTGGGCATAGGTTGGCTCAGGGCAGTCACCAGCAATTGGCACACAATGGCATGGCCACCTTTGCCCCAGTCCCACAGTGTTGGAGGTAGCCTTGTTGGAAATGTGCCTGCATGTAGAGGTCAAGCCAGCCTGCCTGAGAAGCCTCATCCACCTCCTGTGGCTTCTTCTGATGCTGAGGGGCCTTTTGGACCAGAAGCTTGCAGGGTGGAGGTGTGCCAGGGAGCTGGTGGCTGCGCCTTCGGAGCAATCTACTCCAGCTTCCCTTACTTAGTTTTGTTTTGTTTTTTCTTTTTTTTCTTGCTATTTTAGCCACCTGATGGTGTCAGGAAGATGCCATGCTCCAGTTGCACTGCATCCTGCTGCCATGGGCTGTGTGCATGCAGCAGCATCACCAGAGGAGATGATTCCAGAGTCCAACACCTGAGCACGGCCCCTCTGTCCTCAGCACCACGCCCTGCCCTCCGGCTCCCACCTGAGGATTTGCTCCCAGATGTTGTGTCACAGAAGTCATTGGGAGGTAAAAGGCATATAGCCTGCATTTCTTTTCCATTTAAAATGTATAAGACGGCAGCTTTTTTCTGGTTTCCCTCAAAAGATCCTCTGTGTTACTCAGGGCATGCAGCCTGAGAGGCAGGGGCTGGCGCCATTCCTGACCTACTGTGATGTTACTTTTTGGCTTCCATTTTCTGAAGGAAGCCAGTGATGAGGGTGAAGCTTGGAGGGATTCTCTGTGCTGGGGCAAAGTACACCTTGTATAGCAGTACGCATCTTCTGCAGTTACTGCTTGTAACATACCTTTTCCTTTCGCTGTGGCTGTGCTCACTGACAGAGAAGGGCTCCAGTCCCTCCTAGCTGTGATGTGCGGATACTGACACATCACAAAATGGACACATTTACCCCGAGCATGATTTTGTTTGTTTTGGCTCAACTCCACGGATGGATTAAGCCCTGGTGGGGTAAGCAGAGGCTCCTGAGGAAGTTATGGTACATATTGGAGGCCCACTGCCTCAGAGAGCTGTGCAGCATGGCACACAGGAATCTGGGTTCAGGTGTGGAATCTGGTGTGAGATGGCACTGCAGAGCCGCTGTGTTGGCCAGCACTTGTTTCTCCATCTACTTCCTGTAAAGCTGAAATTAGCTAGCGGGAAAGGGTCAACCTGTTTTTTTTTTTATTATTGTTTTTTCATTTGCCTGTTTTGTTTCTGTCATGGTTTTATGATTTTTGGTCATCAGTATTCCACACCATAACATCATGTAATGCACTGGGGGTGGGGTTTGATATCTGCCGAATGTTCGTCCGTCGGAGAAGAACTACATTTCCCCAGGAGACTTTGCGGTCAGCAAGGGGATATAACTCCAAGCAAGGTCACCTGATCCTTCTTTTTCGCCTGCTCTTCGCTGTCTGCGCTTCGCTATCTGCACTTTGCCGCCTGCGCTTCGCCATCTGCACTTCGCCGTCTGTACTTCAGTCACTCAACTGGACTGCACTTCTCACCCCAGCATTGTGGTGAGGTCTATACAATTCAAACAGACTCTGTCTCTCTCTCATTGTATTTTACTAATACTATATTTAGTAAAATCATTTGTTCCACCTCAGATCAGTGCTGTTGTTTTCAAGTATTTTGGGGTCCCCTGCTTCCCCTTTCCCAGAGGCGCGGATCCGCAGATCCCTCCGCCCTGCTGGTCACGGAACTGGGCCGGACCAGCCCATAAACTGTTGACAGTTTCCTGAATAGTGATACCTGTGGTAAAGTAGCACTTGGTTTAGCTTCTGTATCTCATTGTAGAGGAAAAAAATTTTCATGATCACAAAGGTTTTCTGACTCACTTTGAGGTGAACCATGCATTGCTGCAGCTTGTATCTCCACTCTTTAACAGTGTGTGGTGAGATCACTGCCTTGTATGATACTACAAATTGTACTTGTATGTTTCAGCTTATTCCAGACTGGAATTTAAAGGAAGGCTCTTGCAGAGTACGTCTGTGTAAGTGTGCTGAGCTGAGGGTAATCAGTTGGAGCTGCAGGACCAGTAAGGATCATGTCTGCCACACATTGGTGTTAGCACTCCTAAACAGTGACCTCCCAACATCTGCCTGGGAGACTGAGTTTGATAGCACTCAAGTCCTACAGCTCCTTTGTTGCTTTTCTCTCGGTCTTTTTGGGCTACATGAGCTCTAGGTGTATGAGAAAATCTAGGAATGGTATTCTCAGGATAAGAAAAATTAAGTTTTCCACATCATAATCTCAGCTGCAATCAGACATTGGTTTTCTTGTGAAAACTGAAACTTTTTGAAATAAGGAATATGCTAGCAGACAACTGAATGTGTGAGGTAACCATGAAAGGCTGCAATGAGCTGCAGAGCAGAGCTGGGATCTGCCTCAGGAGGGAGTACCAGTGACCAGTGCTGAAAGCCCTGCGGTCAGGGCACTGAGCAATGGGGCTGTGCTAGAGGTCCACAGCACACACACTGCATTGCTTTTAAAAGTTTTTATTTTACTCTTGAGGAGTTAAATTAGCATATAAGCCATTGCTATGTGTTTATGTTGAAATGTTACAGTGGAAATGTTCTGACCTGGGAAAGCTCAAGTACTCATTTTTCTTTAAAAGATTTTGTAGACGAACTATGGCTTATTTCCTGTTGTATTACTAAGACAGTTAAAATTGAAAAACAAGAAGAATATAGAAAAATAGGACCTCTGTCTATTCAGATTGATTCAGGCTTAAAGATATGTTACAGCTGCATTTTCTCATCAAGCATCTCTTTCATATAGAATAGCAGAGTGAAAAAAGTGCAAGGGTCTTTTCGATTCATTGAAAAATATATTTCTAATGTTTTTCCAGAGTACTGAAAGATGTTCCAAGGCAGTATGGAATTATACAAACATACATATATACATATGAACTTTATTAGAGGTGATTGTGGAGGAAAAAAGATGAATATAGAATTACTGTAAATAGCACAAATCCATTAAAGCATGCAAGTGCTAAGAGGCTTTTGTGTTGAATAAAGGTTCAAAAAACCTAAGGTTGCTTCCAAATACAGAACTAACCTGTGAGTTTGGATTTAGCACTGACTGGGCCTGTCACATTTCCCATTAATGAGGTTCAGCTCTGAAGAAAAGGAGAGAATAAAAATGGTCTGTGTGATGAGATGTACAATGCAGTAATTGGATCAAGCTGAGACATCGGTGGCCTTTAAGAGCAGAAGAGGAGATTAATAAGAGAGTTGGCATATGCAAATAGTTTGTTCTATTGAATTCTTTCAACACAGTTTTCATCTTTTTTTTTTCTTTTCAAATTAGGATAGGCAGAACAATTGGGTTGTGGACTCTGGGAACATTACCTATTTTACTTCTCAAACTGGTAGGACATTGGTGGTTACACCCTTACTGAACGAAAGACCTTTCCATGTTGATTTTACCACGGAACTTTGGGGACCGTCTCCTGTGTGCCCCAGTGGCTGTAAGAAGGCTTTGAGGGGTCTGAGTTTTGGAATGAGTGCCTACAGGAGGAGTTAGGTGAGAGCTGCACAGGTTGAATTCTGGCAAGTCCAGAACCATCAAGTGGATCTAGAAGTCAAGGCAACATGTGAAGCAGGAAGATTCTCTGTGGATGTTTTCCAGCTCTTATCAAAAGTTTACAGAGCATATGTCTAAGTGTAGTAGAAGTCAAATTTAAAAGATGCCAAGGACTAGTTTTTCCTCATGTGGCTTCTGAAGTGACTCCAAATTATCCTTGCTTTCAGAGTGATAATTTTACCCTATAAACCATGACCATCTGGGATTGGACCATTCCAGGTTAGCCAAGACAGTACAGTTCTATCCCTGCCTATCTGCTGATGCCAGTCTGCTATCCCAGCAGTGTAGTTTGGTACAAGACCAATGTCGTCCTGTCCTGTTCATTTAATCTTGTAGAGAAAGTTACCTTCATTAAAAGTCTGAGTTTGACATTTACTTTTCCACACACATAGGATTTCTAAAGCTGTATCCTGATTCCTGGCCCTCCCTTTACAGCTCAGCATCCAAAGTGCTACAGGCTAGCTGTACAGGCTAGCTTACCTTATTGACACCATTTCCTATGGGTTTTGCATTCACAGAGACTTAATTTTAATTTGAGTGAGAGCAGAAGTGATCATGTTTTGGACAAGCAAATGAGCAGTTTACTAATCATTTACTAGCAAACCTGTTTTAATAGTAAAACTGGTTTTATATTTGTTTAGTGTGTCTGTGATACCATGTACTGTTTCTCACTGGTGGTTTTAAAGATTGCAGAGGTTGCACCAGGATGTTTGCCCTCTGTGCTCTAAGCACTTAAAACATACAGCAGAAAAAAAAGCTCAAAACATTGACAGTGACATTCTTTGCTTTTTATTTCTTTTATTCAAAAACTAAATGTATTATTTTCCACTGTATAAAAATGATCGACATTCCAAAGTTGCCACCAATGACATTCTTGAATCCTCAACACTTCTCAATAATTAAGTTATTCTCACACAGCTTCTTCAGGGATCAAAGCAGTGCAGGAAATGGAGCTCCATTTCCCAAGGAAAGGAGAGCCATGCTCTCACGCTATAGACTTGTTAGCTTGCTGCTTTTCCTCTTTTTGAACTTTCCAGCTGTACCACAGAATTTCAAATCAACCTGACAGCATAAATACCTGAAAGACAGCAGGCTACCCCAGGCTTTGTGGCAATCTGGTGCCACCACGTAAGGACGTGGGGATTGGCACTGCCGTGAGGTGGCAGAGGAAGGGCAGAGCCAGGATGGCCCCTGGGGGATACCAGGGACAGCTGTGGTCAGAGCACGTGTGGTCAGCACAGCAGCAGCCTGGACGCTGCTCACACAGGGCTTGTCTGAGAGGGTTTACCCAGCGAGGAGATCAGGCAGTCTTCTTCCATGTCTTTCAGGTGGCCCATGATCGGTTTGTAAATAAGAACTGAAACCATATACGGTATTTCAGTGGATTTTTATCTCAATTCTTTTTTGGGAAGAATGAAAATATAATAATGTCATCACTTGGGAATGTTTAGAAAGGACTGCTGGCTCAAATTAGGCCTTTTATAAGCTCTAGATATTTATAACTATTTCAGTTGTTATGACTTTTTGTTTTAATGAGATGCAGTGCAGTCATTCCCAGTGAAGGCAGTTAAATAAATAGCGTAACATTTTGCCATGACTCAGTTTTTCATTCCGAATTATTATTTGGTCCATACTGACAGAAAACAAGATATGCTGAGAGAAACGTTGGGATGCTAGTGGTGCTTATGTATGCCCTTCTTACCAAGGTGTGGCCTAAGTAGAACAAGAAAACTCTTCTTATATGCAGAATTTCTGTTACACCTTTGTACATAAGTGTTTGTAGGAAAAGAAAATGTGGATGCCCATCTCCACGTTATATTATATTACTATAATATTAGTCCTGTACTTTATCAAGCATTATTTTTTAAAGTGGTTTTGCCAAATAAAAGAACCCACAACACATGAATCCTTTTTCACTTGTTTGACAAGTGCAGCCTAT